TTCCCTAATCCCCTAAAACCTCCCATAAGATAGAGGTCTTTAGTGTTTTTAGATTTTGCACATGGGTATCTTATTTTCTTTCTCCGGTCACTGCTACTAACACTGACTGATCATTTCCTATGTGGCAGCCATTGTGCCATGTGCTTGATATGCCTTATCACACTAAATGATCACAACTGTCTTGTGAGGTAGATGGTAGTGTTATCCTTGCTCTACGGACAGGTAGATCAAGGCTCAGAGAGTTAAATAACTTAAGTCAGATGGCTACTAAGTAAAAATGAAACTCAGAATCTGAGCACCTAACCACTACTCTATACTGCCTCTCTTGGGTCCAAGGATGACATCCATGGATATGCCTCCCAACTACCTCCCTGGCACTGACCTGGCTCAAGTTCCAACCTGCCACTTTGCATTCTCCATAACACATGTCCATATAACTGTACTGTCACTTCAGTATTTAAAGTCAGCCTTCGCACCATCTGGCCACAAACCAGCTTCCTTATTTTTGTTAATGGTTCTCCCGTCTTCCTTATCACCTGGGCTTGAACTCAGCAATTGCTTTCTTTTTCCTTCTTGAACTTTCCTATTCCCAGGTGACGTTAAGAGAAGTTGTTGGGATTCTTTTTTGGAATGTCTCTTGCATCTCTATTTGACACTCTGGTTCAGTTCCCAGTCAGCCCTTAGATTAGATTAGTGCCCTAGCCTAATTAATCTCTGTTCTCTTCCAGTCTGTCCAGTAACTGAGAACTGCTTAAGCTCTGCTGTCCCCCACATGGAGTGCAGGATTAGCTGTCTCACTTTCAAAGCCATCCCTAATATGGCCTTTTTACCTTTAGTCTTCCCCCCTGTTAATCTTTGACGCAAAATTGCCGCCAAATATGATACCAAATAATCTTACTGGACCTTTCCTTGTCTCCTAGTTTTACTTATTCTGTTTTCCTTCCCTATTGACAGCTCCTCCTCCTCTTGTTTCTGCCCACTGAAATCATACATAGATTTTGTTTCCTAGTTGATGATGTGAGTGCTCTGCATGCTGCATTCAGATATGAGCTTTCCTTCCATGCACCCCTCTACTATCCTATATTAAACTTATTTGGGAATTGGGCTACTCCCCACTACTAGATTGCAAGTATGTTGAAGACAAACGTATTCATGTTTTAATGCCCAGATGGGTCAAGCGTAGGAGGTTATACCAAGAAGGGACTCAAAACCCCTAATCCTTCTTATTCTGCTGTCAGTCATCTTCCTAAAAGGGAAAATAAAGCAAAATTAAAATTAAATCGGATCATGTAGCCAATCTGCTCAAAAGCTTTTGAAGGGGTCTTGTATAATTGTCAACATGCCTTCTCCACTTTTTCTACAATAACTTAGCCTACTCTGCACTATCACCCCCACCAGGCCCCTTGTCTCCACCTAAAGTCAACAGCTCTCTCTGCCTGAATCCACACTATGGTTTCCTGCCTCAGGCTTTTCCTCAAGCTCTTATCCTCTTTCTTGAATGTCCTTGGAACACCCTTCTCCCCCTTATCACCCTTTAAGGCTCCAGCTTCCTAGGTGCACCAGACTTTTTGTTTCTGTTATAAAGTACCTAGGCCAAACTGCCTTATTCATGTGTTTTCAATCACCCCAGTCCCTGAAGAACCTTGCACCCATACTGCACGTAGCTCAGTACTTTGTCCAGAGTTGTACACCAACCTATGCCCCTTATCACTACCCTCACTACCCCAACCAACTGAGCAAAGGAGCCCCGGTGGGTCATGGAGTGGGGCCAGATGTTCTGGCTCCAGTTCCCTCCTCACTCAGGCCTTCTCTTGGCTCTGTGTGTGCAAGTGACAGAGGGAAATGGTCATAGATTACATCAGAATAAAGGTGAGAAAGTCTTTGGATATATTCTTAGGAGCTTGTCAGAGAAAAGAATGCCTCAGATTTTGTCATTCTTTTAAAGCTGAGTGATGAAACAGTAAACGTGTAGTGGAAAGAATTGTGAAGTTAAATCTACAAAACTGAGCAGGATGTTTAGGCTATAACGATTAATCGCCACATTCAGGAGGTCATTGGGCTGCACTGGGCCAAAAGCAAACATGACTTTAACTAGAAGTAGCTGACCAAAGGAGTTCTTCAGCAATCAGTCTTGGTCAGCTTTTTTGACTTGATTTTGACTGCCTTTTTTTAAGTGTTTAGAGTGTGTTTTGGCCTCCATCCCCCTTTTCTTGTCAGTTTGGGGATTGACAGTCCTGGGTTAGATTACCAAATACTTTCCATTAAAATGAACTTGGAATAGGTGTTGCAGACTCAAATGCCTACAGGGGCTTGGCAAGTATTATCAAGGAGCAGATCTTGTAGTAAGAAAAGTCCTAGTGTAAGATCAACAGTAGGGAGTGGTACGGATTGTGGCAAACTGGAAAGCACAAATCCCGTCAAGGGCAGCAGCCTCTACTTTGCTCCAGCTGATTGCTGCCATGCAAGAATGCATGCCCAGTGTCACCAGAGCCTCAAGATAAGCCAGAGTAGATTTTATAAAAATGTCAGCTCATGGCATCTTTCTTTCTCTCTATATATATGTATACGTACACACATACACTCACGTGAGCCAAATGATTTGGCCCATGAACCACAAGCTTTTGGCCTTTGGCTTGATGAGAAAAGAGGAGTAAAATATTCCTCCAAGGTTTCTTGCTGAATGTCAATAGTAGGCAGCATGCTTGATTAATTTTCGCTTTGCCCACAGCAGTGGTCAGGGCACCAGGAATATTTCCTACCCCTAGCACTACTGCCAGGGAGCCTGATCCATGTGTTGGTTGAAGTTAGTTTTGTAGAGGGGAGTGGGCATGGGTGGAGAGGGTATGGAGAATGCCCAGAATGACCAAGAAGAGAGGTCACTGACACCTTCAACAATTGCCAAGAGCCAGCACAATTTGTAAATAGTAAGGGTGGCTAGGGGCCATTTAATTCCTTTTTTCTTTTGCTCTACAGAACTTTTTATCTACTAGACTAGATAGTGTTGACCCTAAGTTTACTTTAATCCATCAGAAGAGACCCCTTCCAATTTATATGTATTTTTCCCCTGTAGATTTGATCATTGGCCTTTTAATGATGAACTAGTCAACACTGGCCAAACTGGAAAGAGATAATTAAGCTACATGAACTTGAACACGATTTCATGTAGATTATATTTTGCTGGTAATAACATTAAAAAAGCTCATTTCGGGAGTTGAGGCCTCTCTTGTCCCTGCTAGGACACAAGAACCCTGAAAATAAGTTACTGCTTTGATAGCCAACTGTTTATGCAAATTAGTAAATGCAATGCCAGCTACTAATTATGAAAATAAACTCATCTGTGCTTTATAAATATCTAATTATAAT